AATATTCATTGAATATTTTATCACGATATGGGAAGTTCCAGCAATTTGCCTTAAGGCACGATGCCATATACCACTAGTTTATTTTGCTAATGGCAATATTGCAATTCTTTCTTTATTTTTTTGCCTCGAACCTGTTTTTAATTTTAAGATTTGGAATTTGTGTTACAATAACCAATATTAATTGCACACCCAAATCGCTATACAATTGTCCAATAAACTATTCAAATTTATCCAAAATCTTACGAATGCAACAGTTTTTCGCACTCATACATTATAGAGTAGTTAAAGTGGAATTTTAAACAGTCTCTAAATTTTCTATTCATGAATAACAAATTCCGAACTGCTTTATATTTCCTCCTTCTCAGAAACAATGATATTTGTATAATAAAGCAATCAGATTCCCGCCGTGAACCTATTGAATCTGGTTTACCATGTGGCCTGGGAATCCGATTGGCATTTTTATTTTCCCGTTTCTGTCGCCCACTCTTGGCTTCTATTTGACACTTCAGAGCGCCAAGAATTCTAGTTGACTTCACCTTTTTCCATTCGTCATTTCATTCTTATTAAAATTCGTATTTGTTTTTATAAATTATAGAAATTTACAACATGAACTAGCTGTAAGCGGCATTTTGTCTTAAGGCAAGTTGCATTAACTTTTCGATACATATACATAATCAACCCTTATAACAATAAGAAATCCAACTTTTGAAATTGTAACAATACAATTTTCAGAATTTTAATTTGAAAATCAATTTTTTGCTTTTCATCAAAAACAAATCAATTCTAATAGCATGTTTCCATTCTTCAATAAATTTTAATAATTCAATCACATTTTGTAGACTTATAATATTTTATGATGTTTGTTATGACTATGAATACTATCGTAGTGTTACGTAAAAATCATAAAAAAAAATCAGCAATTAATTACGAAGAAACGGCCCTGCCAAACAGGAAGGTAGCAGTTGGAATATCTTCACTGGTTACATTCAGAACTATTGACGAAAATCCTGCAATTATCTGCTAATTATAAAGAAATTATCTGCTTATTGTCATGCAAATCTAATCAATACTAGTCCCTATCGCGTTTCTTCAAATGAGGGTTTTGAAGTCGGTTCTGTTCTTTGAAAAAAGTTGACAAAATGTCAAATTTTGGGTAACACACACATACATGCATATAAACACTCAAATGCATAATTTTTTAAATTTTAGTGTTATACTATCCAGAATGATTTGAGACATCGAAAAAACATAAAAATAGCGAATCGGATTTTTTGGAAAAAACATTAACTGCTCTTTGGGGAAGTTAAATAAATGGTCTGATATGTATTATTATATCCAAGAATATGTATACATAATTACTGATTCTGTCAGTAAAGGATTTCGTTTTATCATAAAATTTTTGTACCAGTAGGAAAAGTGCTAATTAGCCCAATTTTTTAAAAATTTGTGGTTGAAAAATAGCAATCGATGGAGTATAGATTTTTTCGCAAACTGTTAAGATAGGAATTATATGAAATCTCAAGGCACCTGCCTTAATCAAAAAACCCAAGAGTATAAAATAATGTAAAATTATGATATATACTAAGAACCTCAAAAACAAACTACCACAAGGATTTTTTTTTATTTCACTATATAATTTACAACTAATAAATATAAAGATAATATAGTTAAATCACAAGTGACAATTAAATGATAATAGTAGTAGTAAGTAGCCCGTGTTACTTCTACTTCAAGTAGCCACAAGGAAAATATTTATCACCATAAGATGTTTATCCCATACATTCTATAGTTTCACAAATATCAAAACGGTTCAAAATAACTTATGAAATTGGTTATAAATCATTAAAATAAGGAAATTTTCTCTCTCCCGAGTAGGAAAATCTATTTTTGATGGATTTGTTATAAGTTTTTACTACCTTCTCATAAAGTTATCGTTAGGTATGATAGGTATGTTAATTGTAATATTTTATTTTTTATATTTGATATCATTATTTATTAATTATTTACCTGGCATATTTGATACGTTTTTTAATGATTTGTACTTTTTGTGGCCTTTACACGCGCCGAACCATAACTTTAGAACCACTCCAAGTTTTGGCGATACAATTTAATTACTATTATATAGTATTCTTATTATACTGAAATTTACAATGTATTTTATACATTATTCCATTTCATTTCTTTCATGATTTATTTTAGTTCTTTTAATTAATAATAATGGTAGGTACTAAAAATATGTGAGATATAGAATTAGTATACTAAAATTGACAATATATTTCTATCTGATTTCATTCCAATTCTTTAATATTTTTTTTAGTTCTTTTAATTAATAATAATGATAGGCACTGAAAATATGTGAAATATAGAATAAGTTGTAAATAATATTATGCCTATATGAAAAAAATATTTTCAGAAGATAATGGAAATTTTTCAAGTAATCTAAGGCAATCATACTTATTACGATTTAATAGCAGTATTTATAAAAAATATTTTAAATATTATTTTCATACATATATATACTATGTATGTAGAAATCAAAGTTACTTATTTTCTTTATTTATAATTTACATAAATTATATATAAATTAACAATATTTTAAATTTGCTTGTTAGCAGATATCCTGGCAACTTCTTATAAATTTTCACACATTTAAGCTATTTTTTATAAAAAGTTGATTCTGCATATTTTACAATTTTTTTTTTGACTACCAAATAGCCAATATTGTCCTTGCTAACCTTTGATGTTACATGAGCTTTGCACTATCAACAACTTATGACTATTTTCTATCATTCCGTCAAAAAATATCCAAAAAATTGAATATCTATATATACATATGCAAAAAATTAAGCTATGCAAAATTTGACCATAAAGTGCCATAGCTGTGTACAAACAAAAGTAAACATTTTTTATTTAATTTGTGTATTTCTTTATATTTAAATTGCAATCAGAACTATGTGTTCTATAAGGTATTGTGATGTACATTTCTTAATTTAATGTTTTCTAGAAGATGGCCGGATGGTTCACTATTCTCTATTATATATTAGATATATTTTTAATAATGGTGTGAATATATATTGCAAAAATTCCTTGAAAGGCGATTTTACTTGATATTATATTTGATATGTATAATCTCTAGTGTAAATTTGATATCACTACTGCTTGAAATTCAGTAGGCTAAGGTGGCCATTGAAGCCGGAAGTAGTTTTGTTATGGATTTTCGAACATTGCTGTATATCTTATGATAGCAACGTCGTAAGAATCAAGGCTGGTTATACATCTTTTTACAATCTTTCAAGTATTGTTGTTAAAGAATTCCTAACTTTAATTATTTTTGAGATATTGATGGTGGACCTTTTAACTACGGCCCTGCTCTCTCCTATCTGTAGTATCATATAGTATCATAAGTTTTTATTGTTTATATATGTTTTTTTCTTATTTCGAAATTTAATACAAATGTTTTCATTTAGCGAATCGAACACGTGTTCGAGATTACTGCATATCGAATGACTGCTGGACAAATTTGCAGATTAAATGTTTGATATGAATACATAATGTCAAAATATATATTATTTCGGATTATCTGAATTAATCACGAATGGAATTAGAAATGAATGAATTTATGCGAGTTGAACTTTATTTTCTCATGCTGGTCACTGTTTCATTTTAAATCGCTCTAAAATTATCTTCATTATTTATTATTTTTAATGAATTCTACTGTCACAATCAATCAATTCAATGGAATCAATCACAGTTTATAGGATAGACGTGACAGCATTAACTTTATAGATAATCGTTTGAAAAATTTCTCTAATCATTCTACAGTTTTGACAAATCTAATAACAGCTTTATTATAAATAATTTGACAGCTTAAAAATAATTATATATTCGGAAAATTATCTTAAGATTTGCAAGGAAAATAATATTTTTATTAGTTTTTGTTATTAAAAATATACTAGTTGTGAGAAAATTCCTGCGGGGTTATCTATGTAATATATGAAATTTGATAACTTTCGTTCAGTCTTTGAATTCAGTCACTTACGAAAAATAATTGCCTACTCTAGTTGTATTTTATTTTGAACAAAATATATATATATAATAGAGATAAAATAATATTTTAATATCGTTCCAGACTTTATTGAAATCCTGTTACACAAAAGCTTACCCCTATTGCATAAAGCCTATAACTCCCATATGTAATTATTTATCAGGAAACATAATAAAATAATCAATAATAATTGACAGTTGTGATTAATTTTAATTATTCTTAGGCATTACGACTTTAGTACTATTGGCATTATTACTTGCTTTATGTTTCCATATCTGCATTTATATTTTTACATGCAAAGGTCTTTACTGATTGAGAGAAACGTGGTTGGGAAAACATTATTTACAATCAATATACTTTTATATGTTAATATATTGAATATAAGGGCTAAATTTATGACTACTAACTGCCAAAGAGTTTTGGTAGTATAAACTTTAGTAATATTTCAAATCATTTATGCTTATCAAGCAGTTAAGTGATATTCTCAATAAAATCTGATTGCAGAATTCAATCTGCATCCAATTAATGTCCAGTTTTGAGTGTATCATGAAAGCAATATAAATATTGCTTAATGATGATATCTTGGCCTCACGAGTCAAGATATAATTTTAGGTAATTCACAGGACTTTTAAATATAAGGCTATTATTTAATTTATCTATTAATGCTTACTATAGTGTACAATTGATTTTTTTATTATGCTTCACTTTTTATATCTATCATAAAAGAACAACAAGTAAAATTTTAGGAATTAAAATGAAATAAGATAAAATAAGTAAATAAATTATTAAAAAAGCAGTGAAGAAAGGAATTTAATACGATTAGAAATAAATACATATGTTACATTTATTTATGTATTGCATTTATCGACAGTTGAAGACGTGAATAAATTAAAATATGACAAATATCAGTAATTTTTGTCGAAAATCTGTTACTAAAATATTTTTGTATTTTCAGAAACTAGAAAATCGGCCCAAAAAATTTCCATTTATCCTAAAAAATGTAGATCTTTCGGGCAATTATTTCAAGAAGAGGAATGGCTCCGCGGAGCAGAAAATCACGCGACGCCGGCTGCTGCAGCGTCAATTTCTTGAAATGTGCGCTGCAAATATTCAACTTTTTGTGCCTGGTAGGTAATTTTTTCCTCTTATATCAATTTTGTATCATTTTTGGTATTATTGACCTTTTGTTGTCTCTTGTTATTTCGGAATGCAAAAAAAAAGAATAATTGCATTTGAAAATAGTATACACTTCCATGTAAATTGTCTACGAACAAAGTGATGGAATTATTCATTAAATACCATCTAGTTTTATGAAGTATTGTTTGTGGTAAATATTTAAATTGGTATACAAGACAAAAGTTTCTAAAAAAATTTTCTAAGTGACGTTTTATTGGATTTTAAAGAGTTATGTACCAAAAGGGTTAACATGATGCAAGGTATAAAAATGCAAATGTATGGAAGTAAAATCTATCATGAAACATACGAACAAGTGGGGCCCATGGCATCGTGCCTTGAGGCAAATTGCTGGAACTTCCCGTACCAAAAATTATTATTTTTTTAAAAACTATTAACATTTTTGAAAAAAAATTACTTCGAAGAAATTAGATTTTTGAGAAACTATAAATTTGTCAAAGAATTACTTTTTTTTGAAAAAAAATGTTTTCTTTATTTTGAAATATTTTGGAAATTCTGAACTTTTTTTCAAAGCAATCGTACTGCTTTAACTGCATAGAGAAGAAATATCGTGTATTGGCGTGTAAGCGCCGCGTCGGCGGCTAACGGATAAACATTGGTATGGAACCCATAGGAATGTAAACAAAATTTATACTTCTTGTTAAAATCTCTATAAAATATCTGATAATTTGATGTGCATATTTCTAATAACCATTTTTAACCGCCAAATCGCATTTTTTTTTTTACTTTTTTTATTAGATCTCCGAAACTGCTAGACCTGCCTTCATGAAAATTTGATCAATTCTTCATCTTGTCAATACAAGTAAAATGTTTTTTGAATTATTAAAATCCGACGCTCGTTCTCTTAAAAACTGGGTACCGTTTTTGGCACTTTTTGCCCCGTATCTTCAGAACGGCTAGACCTGCCTTCGCCAAAAACTAATCAGCACGTCTCCTTATCAATACGAATCGAATGTTTTTTGAATTATTCAAATTGCTTCATCCGTGTTCGCGAAATCGAAAATTTGTATCCGCACACACACACAAACACACACACACACACATACATCCATTTTTTCTAAGGTATGCCAAAATATTCAGAAACTTCTGAAACGTAAAGATATATACAAATTTTCATTTTAGATTTTTTTGCGATTACTATGGGAATTTGAGATTTGCTATTACTATTACTAGGGGAAGTTAATAATAACATATGTTGATTTAAAACTTATTATGTATAATTATTATGAATTATTGAGCTTCTTATGTATTAGAAGATAATATAGTATATTCTTGAAAAGCCCTGTATTTTTTTCTGTAAACGTTTTTATTCGTAAACATTGTTAATATTTACATCAATTTCAATATTTGTACAGAAACTATAATATTTGAAAACTATTATAGTTTTGGGTTGATTCTCATTTGTCATCTATTTATTAGATGGATACCTCATGATTCAAAATTTAATCTCTGTTCAACTCGGTTTGACCGACACTTGTAACTTTTCCATCCTAACGAGATTTATACATTAACATTTTTACTAATTATAAGTTTCAAGTATTTAATCGTTTTATTCTAAATTTTTTTACCAGTTTTGTATACATTTTTAAAAAAATCGGCAAAAAACGCTCTGTTTTCATACAGAAAATTTGGATGAAAATGTAGGTTTTATTATTTACCATATACATATTGACAAAAATTCCTGTTTTTAATCATATATATGCGTATACGTTTATTCAATGTCATGAAATATCGAACACAATTCAAAAATATATACTTTATTGAAATAAGACGATTTTTTATTGAAAATTAAATTATTTAAGGAAATCAAAAATCTAAAATTATAAATTTTCAGAATATTGAAAAACCCCCAAATTATTTTACAATAAAATTAACAAGAATTTAAAAAGCGGAAAGTTCTATTATCTTCCTTTTTAGCGAGATCTTCTAGTATTAGTACAGTAACCATTACCTATGTTAAGTATGGCCTGTGCACAGAATGATGAAAATTTCTTTACCACGCCAATCACAACATTTATATCGGACGAAAGAGATCGTTATCAGCCCTGGAGTGCCTCGGAGGGCACATGCGACTTTTCTGATATCGAATCTCTTCCAGATGCGAACTTTCCCAAACCATGATGCAAAATAGGCATCTAGGAGCGCATACCATCCAAACACTCTAATAAAAGACCTGCTAAAACAAGTACCTATGAGAAGATTGAATAGAAAGTGGTCGCAAGATTTAATAAATTAACCATCAATATATTTATGTAAGGAAATTCTACACTGGGGGGAATTTCTAAAAGCCCTGTATCAGTCAGCAAATAACCTCATTGAACCCAAGGTTCAGATTGGTTATAAGAAATAAAAAAAAAATTAAAAAAATAGGCATCTGTAAATTTCTCATGTCTCAAGTAGTGTAGACTGGGTGCGGTTGAGCGAGGGTACGTTAGTGACAATCGTCATAACAGCTAAACTATACTGATTTTGAAATAGGAGCCAAGAAGAGGAAGATGTAGTATGTTTGTTTGAACAAGATTCCATTATTTCTTTTAGTCAGGGCACGACATTGACATGATCTGTAAACCACATTGCTTTTAAAGAGTCCAAAGTAAGTTTTTTGTTCGATTGCTTTTAATAATTACTTTTAACTAATAATAACTTAATAATAACTTTCAATAAAATCCGTTGCAAAGATATTGCTTGGGAATCGTGCTGATTAGTTTTTAGACACAGATGGATTACTTCGTTTGCTATTTGATTATAAATTGAGAATCATTAGTTAATTAGCAACCATTAGTTTCTGCGTAGATAATTTAGCTCGGTCATAATGATGATTTGTCTTTAAAAGTGTGTACTGGGTACGATTGTTACAAAATTTTGTAGGTGCGGTTGTGTCATATTTTTTATGAACTAAGTTTATGAACTAAGACGATATATGAAAGAGAAAGGGAAAAGAGAATACAATATGAAAAAAAATTTACAACCTGCATCATCATCTAATGATTGATTCTGTCAGGTTTGTGGATCAAGTACAGTGCCAGAGTAGATGCATTTGTACAGTGCATTCACAATTGTAAACCGCTATTACATTTGTCACCATAGTAATGATTACAGACTACATTTCTACATTTCTTCTTCAGAGACTACATTTCAAACAAAGTATTATTTTGACTGACAACAATCCTGGGGATGTGGACGGGTGTGACACTAGTCCTTTTTTGTCTGATTTGATTTTATGACATCGTATTTAAGACAGTATTTTAGTATTTTTACGTAGATGAATGTTCAAATTACCATTTAATTTACTTTCCTCCATACGCAGACAGGATGTGATAGCCTTTTAAATAAGCTTTTGAGGTCACTGCGGCAGTATTACCAAGTATAACCTCGTAATTATAACATACCGAGTTATGTATACGATTTATATTATTACTATGAATAATAAAATTATTAATTTGTTAATTAACTTCCCGAAGGAGAAGTTTGTTTTTGCGACAAAATCCGATTTGCTAATTTTATGTTTTTTCGAGGTTTCAAGTCATTCTGAATCAAATGAGACCAAATTTCGAAAAAGTATGTGTGTGAGTGTATGTATGGATGTGTGCTGACGTTTTCTCAAAAACGGCTGAACTGATTTCAAAAATGTATTTTACGTGTTCTTGTAATTAGCTGTTGAAATGTTTTTCGATGATTTTTATGATTTTTTTGTGATGGATATCATGATATTAAAGAACATACCAAAATCATACGGCCCTACGACAAGTCGTTTAATTTTAATAATACATCAAAGTTTGAAAAAATATAAAAGTCAAAATGTGTATCAAAAGTCGGTTTTGTGATGTGGCATAAGTTATAATTTGAATCTCACAAATTTAAAAACCATTTCAAAAAAATCGATAAAGAAGAGCCGTGGTTAATTTTGCGAGAAGATTGGCCAAGCACTTAGAAATGGATTTTGAATTAGCAAAAAAGTGTAAAAAGTTACCATTAATTTATTTGACTACGTTCATGATATAATATCGTGCCAGTATTTTCTTATAGCAGATGCTTAATATTTCACAAAGGGTCTGATCGTGTTTTCATACATAATTGGCCCCACCTTTGTATTTAAATGATTTTAAAGTCATTTTATAGCTTTTTTGAGAAAATACGACATACCATTTTTCAATTCTCTATTTCATCATTGTGTGGCCTGGCCCCTTTTTTCAGAGTCACTTTTTGTCACAACTGTAAAATATATCGAAAACAAATAACGCCATTCTATTCTCTACTATACGACTATATTATTGATAACAAATATTGTTAAATAATCATTTGTTAGTTTAGGAAAAGTGAAAACAATTTTTTGTTGCCAATTTTTGGGTAGTGCGGCTGTTTGGACTAATTTTTAATTAGCATCGTTAGAATGGCTATTTGTTTTTCTAATGCTATGCAAAATATAGTTTTAGTCCATGTGATAGAACTCATTCAAAAATTGAAAAAAACCTGAGCAAGAACTTAAAAAAATTGTTTCGTTTTCGTCTTTTCTCATGAAATTTAACATGGCGATAAGGTTCATGCACCAGAATTTGTTGAGTTATATAAATTAATTGAAATTTGGAATAATAAGCTATAATTTTAGGATACATAAGCACGTGTCTGTGTACTATAATTAATATCAGTACAATTAATTTAAATGTGATTGAAAGAAATATTAATTGGTAATCGTAATGTTCAGATTCAATTGAAAGCGAAAACTTTATTTCCGAAATAAACAGTTGAAAATTGTATCTAAATATCTAAAACTGAAATATGGTTAATTAAGTCAATTATTACACAGGAAGTTTAGGCCTTAAGGCAAAATTCCACTTTCAACTAGTTTTTAATTGATGAAATAAAGCAGTGTTGACTTATTTAATTAATTTTGATCTAATTGTAAGTGCGACGTTAACATCGACCTGCATATGATCGATGACTATCTGAGAAATTGAATCATAGTGATAATTGGATTATAATTGTTGATCACCTACAGTGATGATTGGAATCTTATTTTTCATTTTCTTATGAAGTTTTAGTATAGTTGGATCATAATATCGGCGATTTTACATAGTTTTGGGAAATTGTGTCTTCGAAATGCGCGGCCGTATGAAACGCATCGTGCACACGGCATAATAATAAGCATGCCGCGCGACCGTTAGTTCTGTGTGGGTTAATTATGAGTTTTGTCCGGCTCAGTCGATCGTCTAATCGCCGTAGAATCAAGAATCAAGAATCGAGAATCAGGAATCAATGCAAGTCCGAAGATGGGACACAACCGCAGGCTAAACAAACGATTTTAGCCCCGGCATGCTGGGAATAATAGCATTTGCATGTTTTCCATTCGCATTTGAGAAAATTCTACAAATTCACTAACAAGATTCCCTTGATATGCTAAAAGCGATCATTGTTTTGTAAGACAGTTTTCAAATTACATAAGCAAATGGACATCTGTTATTTAAAGTTCAAAATTGTTGAATTTTGAACTTCCCATAAGGTGATTTATAGTAATCGCAAAAAAATCTAAATTAAATAGTGGTGCATAGCATCGTGCCTTAATGCAAATTGCTAGAACTTCTCGTACCGAAACATAATTTTTAAAAAAAAAAACTTTGCAAAACTTTGAAGCAATTAGATATTTGAGAGATTTGATTTTTTTTTAATTTGACTTTTTTGAGTATTCTGATTATTTTTTTTGATAATTTTGAACATTTTTGCATGTTTGCATGAACAGCTGCTTAGCTGATTTGGAATTGAAATATCAAAGCGCGTTGCGTAGTTGTCTAACTGCAAACATTGGCACGAAACCCAAATAAATGTACACAAAATTTGTACTTGTTATTATGGTCTTAATAAATTATTTGATAATACGATGTACATATATCTTATGATCATTTTGACCGCCAAATGGCATTATTTTTTACTTTTTTTACTGGATTTCCGGAGATGCTAAACCTAGCTTTGAAAAAATTTTACCAGTTATTCAAATACAAGTAATATATTTTTTGAATTATTTAAATCGGACGCTCCGTCATCTCAAAAACTGAAAACTATTTTTGGCACTTTTTGCCCCGTATCTCCGAAACGGCAAGACCTGCCTTTGCCAAAAACAAATCATCACGTCTCCTTATCAGTAGTATTTGTGTTTGTTTGGATACAAATTTTCGTCGACGATTTCGAGAACACATATTAACCGATTTGAATGATTCAAAGAACATTGATTCGTATTAACGAGTGTTTGGCAAAAATTTTCAAAAAATTTCAAAATATAAAAAAATGAAATTTTCTAAAAAGTCAAATGTCTTCAAAACTTTTGAAAAAGTTTTATTGCATAATAGTGGTATCAAAAATAAAATGAACATCTAACAAGCAGTTCCATAGTTCTAAAGTTTAAAAGCTAAAATCGTTCGTTAATGCTGATTGTTTTCTACGTACAAGGAAATTTAAGCTAAATTTATTACCGGAACAACTTATGTGGCTCCATTAAAATCAAATTATATTGCACATAGATCTCCTTACTTAATAAGTACATATGAACAACTGAATCCAAATGGAAATAGAATGGCAAGCAATAATAATTGGCATAGAGAACTCTCCACTACGATTTATTATACGCTTGCTTGAGTTTCGTTCAAAACAAAGTCACGATTTTCTCTCATTTTCAGTATGGTCTATAAAACATTATCAATTAATTGATCACTAATGTTTATTAAACTATACTAACTAATGTATATTAACAGATGTTTCCTTGTTAATAATCGAAAACTTGATTTTATTTACGGCGAACTCCTTCCAAATATAATCACTCAAAAATTAAAAATCAAAATGTTAACCAGTAATACAATTAATTTTAGAAAATTGAGATGGATCACACTTTTGCGAATTAGTTTTTAAGGCAACTGTTAGAAAGTCTTTTGGGAATTCTGCTGGTTCGTTTTTATGTAATGATAGATAAACGATATAGAATTATAGATATAGATATAATCGTAGTCTAAAACAACATACTTAAGTATTATAGACCTACGTAAACGGTTTAATTACAAAAATTCGTCAAAGTTTGGAATTGCACCCTGCGCTAATGCTTTTCCCATCAGAATCTATACCGAGCATTTGTAACTATCCGTGTTTCGTAGGTAGCTACTAATTAAAGTTAACATCCATACTTGAATAAAATACATTTTTAGAACACGAAAGAGATGAAATATAATGTGTCAAATAAATTAATTTAATTACAAACAATATAAAATAAGTATATATGCTTGAAAGAGGTTAATGGGAAATAGCATTGGTTGGTATTTGATATTTTCAAAATAAACAGTCAAACATGTAATTTAAATCACTTCACTCAATAAGTCTGCAGGATAACTAAGAAAAACCCATTTTTTGAAATTTTTTTTTATTCAATATAGTTTTTTTCGAGGACGATATACCGATTACAATGAACTTCGAACTTTTCAAAACCATTTTTTAGTACGATTTTTACTTAGCCGCCAAATTCGGCCATCATCTCATCATTTGGCAAACATTTCATTAGAGCGAGCATCCTTTTGGGATCTGAAAACAGGATATGGTCGCTGAGGAACAGGTCTAGAAAATATAGTGAGTGGTAAAGCAATTCAGAGCTTAATTCAGGTTTTTTTGGCCGTAGTTATTACGGCATTGTGACTTGGTGCATTGTCCTGATGGAGCAGAACGTTTTTTTTTTTCAAATGAGGCCGTTTTTCCAATTTTGATTTTCAAAAGTTTCAATATCGTTATACAATAGTTACTTTAGAAGATCTGGCCTTTTTCCAGATAGTTGATGAAGATCATTTCTTGCGTATCCCAAAAAACTGACGCGATAACCTTGCCAGCTGATTAGTTGCATTTTTTCTCGTCATTGTCTCTAAGTCCAATCGGCTAACTGTCTATTCGACTCCGGAGTGTAGTGTTGAAGCCAGATCATATCCGTGGTAAAATATTGATGCAAAAACTCAGTTTTATGTTAATTAAACAATTCCAAATACTCTTACGAATCATCAACATGTTATGATTTTGGTCAAATAGGAGTTTGTGCGGCACCCATTTAGCACAGAGGTTTCTGTTATTCAAGTATTCGTGAACGATATGTACATCACGTTCTATTGATATCATTTGGGTGTCAGCTATCTCAGGCAGTTTTACTTTTCGGTTTTTCAAAACGTTTCGGTGATTTTTATATTTTTTGGTGGTTACACCTCAATTGGCCTTCCAGAGCGTTCAGTATCGTCTATCCGATTTAGAACAGCCCAGATAACACTTATCAAGCGATATTTTGGCAGCAATGGTATTTTTACCCATCAAAAATTAATGATCAATCAACACTCGAAATTTCTTTGAATTCATGGTCACGAAAAACTCGAAGGTAGCGTCACTTGAACCTCTATAACTTGCAAACTGATTGTCCGATTGTCATGAAATTTTGACATATATCTTCCTAAAGATGGTGCTTCCTACAAATTATACGGTTGATTACATAGCTACATCATCTATGTGTACTACTACTTATTGAATGACGGTTATAGGTGGATGTAAACGTATCAGAAAATTCATGCAACTTTCCTTAAGGCAAAATGCCTCTGACGACTAGTTAATATTGTTTTCATAAAGTTTTTGGTAAGTATGTTTGATGCGAAACAGGTGGAAATTTATTTTTTAAAAACTTTCAAATAAAATAAAAATCATAATTATTGTAGGGCATCCTTGGCGCAGGCATTTTTCTTTTCGAAGAACCAGATATAGTTATTGTTTTGGATTAGGCTATATCAGACCTTTAAAGAGCGATATTATAATATATACTATAATTGTATAATTATGTTGTATAAATATAAATATAAATATAAATAAAAATAAATATAAATATAAATATAAATAAAATAAATATAAATAAATTGATTGGTGGATTTTTCATGCTTGCTGATCGAAGGCAATTTATAGAAGTATATTTTTTTTAAAACTGTCCTTGTATCTAATTATTTAATTTTGTTATGGGATAATTATGTTCATGCCGACAATATCTTCAGTTTCAATTAAATTTTATTGATATTTAATAAATTGTTTTCTCTTTCCAGGTATCCGGCCTAGCTGTTTTTGGAGTGGCTCTGTGGACTTTACTGAACGACCGCGATAGTTTTATTCTTGGTGCGTGTGCTGGTAGTGAGATGATGGCCAGGGTTCTAGCTTCTGCTGGCCTTTTGGCATTCGTTGGCGGTTTCATAGGCTGCTGTGCGGTTTGTAAAGAACACAGGGGAGGCATCGTTTTTGTAAGTTGCATTAAGACATTTGCTTTATTAAGACTTTTATATTACTTGAGAAAATAACGAAATTATATAAAAAAAACTACTAGTGCATGGCATCGTGCCTTAAGGAATTTAAAATAGAATAGAAATAGAATTAAAAAAAAGTAAAAAAAACGAAAACTGAAAAAATAGATTTTTGAGTATTATTTCGAAAGTTTTGAACCTTTTTTAAATCAATCTCGCTGTGTGGCTGTTTCAGAGATAAAATAACGAAGCGTGTAAGCGCCGCGTTGCAGTCTAACGGATAAACATTAATTCGGAACTTTATTATCTATAAAATATCTGATAATCATATTATCCAAATTTATTGCGAAAGAATTATGAAACCATTTTCCGCTAAATTAATATAAGACAAGTTCAAATGTTCAATCAACAGATTTGTAAATTTTGTGAATTAATTTAAAATTGTAACATATATTAAAATAGGTTTCATCAACTATATATTTTACATGTGATTTATATTAAACTTGTTTGAATATGATATTTTTTCTGTTTCAGTGCACATTTTTGTTATTGCTAGTGTTTTTACTGCAAGCAACTGTAGGAATTATAAGTACTATTTACAAAGAACAGGTGAGCGCTGAGCTAAATGCATCTTTGCCCACTACGTTCATCGAAAAGTACCAAATTGACGAAGCTCAAACTAAAGCCATCGACTCAGTGCAGAGAGAGGTAACTTATTTTTTACCAGAATGAATAACACCGTAATGTATCGATATGCTTTATTTTAATAAATAAGTTTAGGACAGTAGGTATTTATTTTCAGACTTTATTATTAATTCGATAACTAACAACTATTATACATTTTTGTATTTTTGTGCATAACTGAGATTCATAAAAAATTATTAGGTGCGCATCTAAGTTCTCGCTGTTTGTCAGTATATGGCTCTAGCAGTAAGGGTTGTCGATATTGACAAATGCAAAATGTCATGAACCAAGCTTAGACATATGACAAACAAACTGCTGCGACACATAAGTGATTTCGTTTTTGCATTACTTACTTCTGGTTGAGTGAAAATGTCTAATTTCATGCCAAACAATCGTCATTTGCAGTGTTGATTTTCGTCCTCCATTCGAAAAAAACGGCAGCTCACAAGTGCATTGAAAGCTACGGAAATGCTGTTCTGAGCGAAACAACATGCCGAGAGGGGTTTCGTCACTTCAAAGATGGTGATTTTGATGTTGACAACCGCCCTCGTGAAGGAAGACCAAAACTTTCAAAAACGCTAAATTGAAAGCCTTGCTCGAAGAGGATTCGTACTAAACTCAAGAAGATCTTGCTTCAGAATTAGGAGTTAGCCATCAAGCCATTTCTAAGCGATTGCATGCGTTGGGGATGATTCAGAAGCAAGATTCTTGGGTTCCCTGTGAGTTGAAGCCAAGAGACGTCGAGCGTCGTTTTTTCGTCTGTGAACAATTGCTCTAGCGGCGAGAAAAGAAGTGTTTCTTCATCGCATCGTGACAGGTGATAAAAATAAATACATTACAGCAATCCAAAGAGGAAAAAATCTCGGTTCGGCCGAATATTCACTGCAAAGGTTATGCTCAGCATATAGTGGGACCAGGTCGGTGATATTTATTATGAGCTGTTGAAACCGAGCGAAACCATCACTGGAGAACTGTATCGAACTTAATTGATGCAATTTAGACGAGCACTGCACGAAAAACGGCCACAATACGAGCAGAGTGATTTTACTGCATGACAACGCTGGGCCTCACGTTTCCAAGCCTATTAAAACTTATTGGAAACGCTCAAATGAAAAATCCTACCCCACCCGCTATATTCTCCAGATATTACACTGTCCAATATTTACTTGTTCCGTTCGATGGCACATGGCCTGGCTGATCAGCAGTTCAACTCATATGAAAACGTCAGAAAATGACTTGATTCGTGGATAGCCTCAAAAGACGAACACTTCTGATGCCAAGGTTATTCGAGCTCTGCTAGAAAGATGGGCAAAAGATGTGTCTAGATATGAGCAATACTTTGTATGAATCAGATTTGAGAGTTTTTTATAATAAAGAGACATTTTTATCGAAAAACAGCGAGAACTTAATTGCGCACCTAATAAAATAATTTTTAGATTCAATAATTAAATTATTACACTCTTTTGCTCTAATATATTTATTGGGTTATACCGAGAAACATAAGCTTAATCAACGAGCTTGACTTTCTGACTGACTCGGAATATTAAAATTATTCTCAAAGTGCTTGAGTGATATATAGAGTCTTATGTAAAGTGGTATTTATAATCTAAATATCTCAAAGGAAAATTTATATTAATTTATAAAATTAAGAATTATCAAGTCTAATATTTTACTCTACAGACCTATGGATTTTTTTGTTTTGTTTCCCTAGCGAATATTTAAGTACAATAAACAGTAATTTATTGCCAAAATTACCAATTAATGAATTTATATTCATGCTGTTAGTCTATAGTATGTATTCATTTTGACTAAAAAATTAGAATATAATCTTGATATTTGCAATAAACACATTGAAATATAAATTATAGATCAGGAAAAAATTAGCCTTTATTCCGAAACGTAAAGGGTTAATAGACAATAAGTTCCCTCAATTTTCACTTTTATTGTTTTTATTATAAATGAAGTTTCTCTTGTAATCTAATCTTTAGTTGAAATGCTGTGGAGCTAATAGTTTCGAAGATTGGAGAAGAAGTGCATGGTTGATGCATACGCCATTAGAGAAGCGACTTGTACCAGATTCATGTTGTAAAACAGAAATACCAATGTGTGGGAAAAGTGACCATCCCAGCAATATTCCTTATACGGTAATCATTTACATAGGCTTGTTTTACTAATTTTAATTAATTAATTATAAGTTATATTTAACTACGCATGGAAGATTTGTGTCATGCAAGATAAATATGAACATTATTAATTTATGCTGCCTTATTTGGTTTAAACATCAAATAAACGCAGACAAATCATTTTTAAATTCCCGAAGTTGTTTTCGTCAAAAAATCCGATTTGCTAATTTTATGTTTTCTCGACGTTTCAAGCCATTCTGAATCAAATGAGACCAAATTTGGAAAATGTATGTGTGTGTATGTGTGCCGATTTTTTAACTTTTGTAGACGTTTTCTCAAAAGCGGCTGAACCGATTTCAAAAATTTAAAAGTCATTCCATGTATCTCGATGAGGACTAGTGGTTATTAGTTTTGCGCAACGATTGATCGAGCCATAGGTTTGAAATCAGCAAAAAAGTGTAAAACTTTTCGACCACGTTTTAGCCCACGCTTCTAAATCGATTTTAAAATTCAAAAACCGTTCGAAAGATTCTGGTTTAAAATTGTGCTGATTAGTTTCGTCTTATAGATGATACTAATATATTACAACCCTACGACAAGTCGTTTCATTTTAAAAATTCATCAAAGTTTCAAAAGGTTAGTAGCTTTTTCGACGTTTATTAAAATTAGACGTTTTACTTGATATGATGATAGAGTACCTGGTCTTAATAAACTTACTAAACCATTATAGTCCTGCGAAAACTGGTTCAATTATAGAAAATGATTGAATTTTGAAAATTTGCTTTTAGAAAATACTCTGAGTTGTATTAGACACGTGTTCAATATTCAATAATGTGTAACAAATCTACTTGGAATACCTATAAATCACTCATAAATTAATTAATTTATTATTGATTAAGTCGATACACATATCGAAAATGTAACTTGCCTTAGGGCAAAATACCACTCACAACTAGTTTACAGTACTTACCGTTGCAAGTGCTGTTACTAAATCAAATTAAACTAATTGATATGCCTATAAGATATTGCTTACTTTCATTATATAATCTTCCAAACGCTCTTTTTATTGGTTGCATATATTTTTGTGCGATGAATATCATGCTAGAATATAGTTGAAGAAATGAATGATTTTTTTAAGTAACATGAATTAGTATTCAGTAATGTTTGATAAATCAGTATCTTAAATCATATCAAGGCAAAGTCACTTCAGTATTGCTTTTATGAGAAAAATCTAAAACACTTTTGTAAAAAGTGATTTATGATTTATATTTTGAGGAAAAAGATCTTGCAGTTTTATTAACCCTTCTTTGTACCATTTTTTGACAACTACTTTTAGCAAGGTACAATGAATTTGGTCATAGAGTGAGCATTTATGAATGTTTGTTGGACAGCAAATGATCTCACTTAAAAACCTGATGCTGACTAATGTCAGGCTCTATTACAACTAGAGTCATTTAGCAAAACAAGAATTTAGATTTATTCCAAATTTTTATGCTTTTTTAAAAAAAAAAAGAGGTCCGGGGGATATATTTCAAACAGTTCTTGATTTTGAAACGAGGGCGAAAATAATTTTTAGCACTTTTTACCTAATTTCGAGGAATCGGCTCAGCCTATCGTTGTAAACAAACATTTTCTGGCAAAAATATAAACATTTCTTTCGGGAAGTTAAATCCTTCTATGATACAGGAACAGCAGTCAGATCATTATTGTTCATAGAAGCAGAAACTTTATCAAAAACTATAGCCAACATAAGCTGTAAATGATTTAATAAATGTGTAGATTGAATTTGAATCGTTTGTAAGGTTTGTTTTGGAAAAGAGATAGATGAATGTTGATGATAAGTGAATATTTATAAAAAAAAATTGAGGAAATTCTGCCCTGCTTTAGGGGGCCCCCAAAAAAAATTTGATACGAGGCCCCGCCAATGCACGCTACGCCCCTGACTTCTGTATTTTTATTTTTTTGCTTCATTATTAGTATTTATATAATTCATATAATTTCTTCTTTCAGGGTTGTATACACAGTATGACTGATAGATTGGAGCATCAACTTTGGCTTTTAGGAGCAGTAGGCCTGGGAATGTGCGCTTTGCCCGTATTTGGAATGATATTCAACTGTTGCCTTTATATAAAATTGAAAGATTTTATTGACGATTGAAAAAAATTATTTGAAATTATTTTAACGTACAAATGAGGAGAAATTTGCTTATACCAAAGCTGAATATTGTAAAAAACATTTATTGTATTTTAGTAGACGTTACACATATGGCTTATTTATTAAATGTATTTATAAAAGATATAATAAATATATGATATAATATTACAGATATAATATATGATGTACCTTCTATTACAGAATTTTATGTTATATTTAGTGTTATCAATAACTACCTGTTTCTAAGGTCGTTATAGCTATAACTAGTATCTACTAACTAGCGATTACTAGCAATAACAAACAAAAAAAAATTGCATATCTTTACGTTTCAAAGGTTTCTTACGTTCAAACATTTTATACCTTAAAAAATAGATATACGTGTGTGTTTGTGTGTGTGTGGGTGTATGTATAGATACATTTTTTCGGCGATGTTTTAGAAGCACCTATCAAACGATTTGAATTATTCAAAAAACATTCGAATCCCATTAATGAAGAGACGCGCTGATTAGTTTTTCGTAAAGACAGGTCTAGCCAAGAGTCCAAAAGATATTTCGGAGTTACGGGCCAAAATTTGCAGACATGTAGACAGTTAGGCAGCTAAACAATTGGAAAGGTACCTTTTACGTAAACAGATAATCAGGTGAAAGCGTAGAAAAGAAGTAGACAGAAAGACTGGTGGACCCATTGACCAATAACTGATATACAGGTAAGCTGTTGGTAGCGAGCAGACTGGTAGACATGTAAAAAGGTGGAAAAGTAGGCAGATAAACATGTGAGTACGTAGAATGGACCGGTAGAGAATAAATAGGTGGATAGGTTGGTAGACAGAATAAACAAATCTTTTTTCACTATAATCTTCTGTTTCTAAATTCTAAATGTAAAAATAATTGAAACTCTTTCAAAACTTAAATGACTGTAAGAAAAACCACAAGATTTTATCAATTATCTTGCTGTAACACTTCTGCAATATACAGGCCACCCTCGCATAACACGGAAGTTACGTTCCAAAAAACTAGCGTTATGCGAATCCGTCTTATACGGGATAAAGAACCAGTACAAAAAGATGGGTTACGTTCCAAGAATTCAAAAAAACATGCTACATATCATGATTTTATAATAAATATTGTTATATTTATTATTTTTTTAGGAAGTAATATACATTACATCAAGTATATGATTTTTTTTGCCACAATTAAATGATTAGTGCTATCCAACACGATCTTTTTTTGCGAGATATTATGATCATATGAGCACCTTTCTATACTACCTCCACTTCCGTGCATTATTTTTTTCAAAAACAATTGTATTTGCGATTACTTGCTTTTAGCGAAAAGATATTTTTATATTTACTATAAGCAACGTTATCTTTATTAAAATTTTGTACCCATTTTTTACAGAGGATCTTTGTTTAAGACTAATTGATCAAATGTTCGGATAATCCTAGGATTTTTTTTCTATAGTACGTACGCGCTCGAATGATCAAATTAGTTATCTTTTGCATTAGTTCTCCACATTTGTTGAGCTATTATACTGCGATTTTACTAATTTTAGATTAAATAAAGTTTGATTTTCTAGATTTTACTATATTTTTTATGTTATTAGCGTTTTGCTTAAGTCTCAAACCGTGTTAGAGCGAACCCGTGCTTCAAAATGATCGTGTTATAAGGGGGATGGTATCAATTCTTAAACCGTGTTAGAACTAATCCGTGTTATAGAAGTACCGTGTTTTGCGAATGTTACCTGTATTACTTAGTAATCGGTATTCGACCAAATAAATTATGCTACATAATAAACCGAATACCGAATTACCGAATAATAGTCAAATTGAGTCGAATATTCGTTGAAAAATATTTCACAATCTGACCGCCATGAACGCCCTAAGCGTATCAGTGACAGTTTTAAAGCTTTCATATTAAGTAATATGTCAATTTAACCTCACATAACCTACAAATTACATGATTTTTTCGAAATTAAAGTCCATTTATTACTAACATGATTAAATCAACTATTTTGAAATTGTCTAGTCAAAAATCTTGTGTAAGCTACATTTTAAGGCATTATACTAATAGAAATGTATTAAAATTAAGTGAAAGAGGATTGTTTCAAGATATATTTCCTGAAGAAGCGGTGTAAGTTGTTTCTATCATTTAACAATAAATAATTAGAGGTATACAATAAATGTTTACTCTTAATTTAGAACACAAGCTCGGGACACACTAAATACAGAACCTCAATGTATGTATGCCGGTTTTGATCCAACAGCCGACAGCCTGCATGTTGGAAATCTTTTAGTTATAATTGGTCTTCTTCAGTGGCAAAGAGCTGGACATGTGCCTATAGCTTTAGTAAGCAAAATTAATTTTAGTATATTTAATAATTCTCATATTATGTATCTCTCATATCCATCTTTTATCAAATGTATTATATTACAGTGAATTATAAATGTTCCGATGGCATATATGTGTGAATCAATATTTGGATCTATCTTTCTATTATCAGATTCTGTTTTGTTATTATTCATATATCCACAGTGTAAAAAGAAACCAATCAAATTAATTATTGATTTATCTAATGTATTTTGAACTTATATTTAATATAAGTTATATCAAGAGTGCAAAAAAGTTATATCATATAACTTTTCTGCACTCTTCTGTTTTTAAAAAAAATTCTATAGAGAAATTTGTATTTTATATATGTCAGAGGTAAATTATCTATAGTTTTTGTAATTGTATTTTAGTATTTTCAAAGTTGTCTTTCATTACAACTACATATCAATTCAACATATATTATGTTTCAGATTGGTGGAGCAACTGGACAAATTGGAGATCCAAGTGGTCGAACATCTAAACGTTCTGATATATCAGCAAATGATATAAGCATTAATGCAAACAATATTCAAGAAAATATTGAAAGAATATTTAGAAATCATGAAGAAATATTATGGAATAGAAGAGGCTATAAAGGAAAATTAGCACCTTTGAAGTATGTAATTAATTTTAGATGCTGTATCTATCACATTTTATATTCATTGCTGTCCCAATTTTAAACCATTCCAAATATGGTTTATACAGATTATAATATCATATAATACATTGGCATATTTAAATAAAACATTTATTTTCAGGGTTGTCAATAATGAATCATGGTATCGAGGAATGGATGCTATTGAATTTGCTGGGACAGTTGGACGCCACTTCAGAATGGGTAAATTTTATAATTTATATATATATATATATATATATATATATATATATATTTCTTTCATCTAGGAACCATGTTGTCAAGGAGCTCGGTACAAACTCGGTTAAAAGATGCAGGGATGAGTTTTACAGAATTTACATATCAAATATTTCAAGCATATGACTGGTTGCATGTTGTCATTTCAGGTAGTATCAAATGGGTAACATAATTACAATTGTAGAGACCAGTATATGGTGGTCAAGTGTTTCATATTCTATGTTAGGAATTACAATGCCATTGATTACATCAGAAGAAGGTGATAAATTTGGTAAATCTAGTGGAAATGCAGTGTGGTTAAATGAAGAAAAATCATCTCCATTTAGTTTATATCAGTTTTTTGTACGTGTGAAGGATAGTGAGGTATGATGTTATGTATCAATATACTATTAAAATCTTATTTGTATTATTTACAAATGTCATTTCTAGGTTGAACAGTTACTAAAACTTTTTACATTCGATAGTCTAGGTGAAATAGAACAACTGATGTCAAAGCACATTAAGAGTCCAGAGCACAGAATTGCACAGAAGAAATTAGCAGATGATGTTACACTACTTGTTCATGGAGGTATGTCACATTAATTAAAAATATTTTTATTGTTTGATGTTTTACGATGTATCGAAGTTACTAAACAGAGGATACCTACTAATTATTTATTAGATTAATGCTATCTATCTTATAATTGAAACCCATATTAGAGTTTCAGATAAAATGATTTTTATATCAGATTTGATTGATAATGTCACCAAGTTGTTTAAATTTTATAAATAAATTTTAATTTTTATATTTTATTCATATACAGTAGAACCTCGATTAAACGGACTAATGTTGTCGATAGGCATCTGGATAATCAAAAATCCAGATAACCCCATTATAATAATAATGGTGTGTATTTATCAAAAATAACAAATACATACATAGTATCACGAAAATCAATGTTTAATAAGAAATTAACATTTTCTTATGTATGTGCATATATATTTTCTTAGATTATATTACATGCATTACTAAACTGCAGCATAAATTGTCCAAAATTCGAATTGTAGGATTTACATACATATATTTTGTCGCGGTTAGTAGTCTGGATAATCGCAAATGTATGGTCCAGATATTCATTTAAGTTTACATTAAGTTTACAATTTATCGATATATTTAAATTTTTATTGAACAATCAATTCTAATCATAAAATAATGAAAAATGATTTAATAATGTAATGTTATATTCAATTATATAATATTATTATAAGATTAAGTTTCTATTCTATATTTTTTAGAAAAAGGTCTCTTAAAAGCTCAACAGACCTCTGCTGCTCTGTATCAGCGTGACGTTAAGTCTCTTGGTTCATTAAAAATAGAGAATTAGAAGAATTATTTAAAGGGGCAAATGTGTTGAAATATTACCATCCCCTGGAATGAATCTCATGGAATTAGCTCTGAGAGCTCATTGCTTTCCAACAGAAGGTTATTATTTTTTAAGCTATTGTTTTTTTCTTAATATTATTTTTAAATTTTATTTATAGCTGATGCTGTGAGAATAATTCAAGCTGGTGGATTTTATATTAACCACAATAGATGCACAAATATTGCTGAAGGTTTGAGTCCAGTTCATATTTTGCCAAACAATGTTACAATATTAAGAGTTGGGAAAAGAAATTACTGTATTGTCAAATGGCTGAAATGGCATTTCAAACGGCGGGTCATGTAATAATGTGTGCAAGAGGTTAATGAAAGATTGCAATGTTGTGCAACAGGGATCCTGAGATGTTATTTTCTGTCGTTATTTACTGCCTCAACTTATAATGATGTATTTATTAAAATTATAGTATTTCTGGGAGTATGTAAATACTGCATTGTTAATTAAAAACATATAAGAAACGAATGAATACTTTTATAAAATCTGTTCATCTGTAATAATTTGTTGTGTGAGATTGTTGTTTCTTTGTAAGCAGCACGTTTATGGCTAAAATTTGGAAAAATAATTTATAAAACGAATACTACTCATTTATAAAATAAAATTATTCAATTTCTTTGTTGTTGTGCCCTTAGGGTAAGTTATAGTAATTGCCAAAAAATCGAAAATGAACATTTTTATATATCTTTATGTTTCAAACGTTTCTGAATATTTTGGCATACCTTAAAAAATGGCCGTATGTGTATATGTGTGTATGCGGATACAAATTTTCGTCGACGATTTTGGGGACAACGATCAACCGATTTGAATAATTAAAAAAACATTCGATTCGTATTGATAAGGAGACGTGCTGATTAGTTTTTGGCGAAGGCAGGTCTAGCCGTTTCGAAGATACGGGGCAAAAAGTGCCAAAAACGGTAACTCAGTTTTTAAGAGAACGGAGCGTCCGATTTTAATAATTCAAAAAACATTTTACTTGTATTGACAAGATGAAGAACTGATTAAAGTTTTGGGGAGGCAGGTTCAGCAGTTATAGACTCTCAATAAAAATAAGTTAAAAAAATGTCATTTGGCGGTTAAAAATGTTTATTGGACATATGTACATCAATTTATCAGATATTTTATAGAGATTTTGCGCAAAAGGTGTAAAAACTATTATGCAGTTTTTGAGAGAACGGATCATCCGATGATTATATTAATTCAAAAAACATTTTGCTTGAGTAGACGGTGTGCAAATAATGCATTTACAGAAAATTTAGTAGTTTTGAAAATTTTCAAAAAAAAAAAAAATTCAAAATTTTCAAAAAAAATCGAAGTTTCAAAAATTCAAATTTTCGAATTTTTTCATTTAAAAAAAAACAAAATTTTGAAAAATTGAAATATTTAAAGAAAATAAAAAAATTATTTAGAGAATATTTCAAAATTTTCAAAAAAAATCGGAATTCAAAATTTAAAAAATATGTTTTTCAAAATAAAACCCAAAAAATTTCAAAATTCTAAAAAAATTTCAAAAATTCGAAAAAAATTCTAAACTTACTACTATTCTAAATTTACTTGTAATTATTCAAAACAATTATTGATTATTTTCATTCCTCGAATATTTAATTCCGATACGGGAAGTTCCAGCAATTTGTCTTAAGGCACGATGCGCCTCACTAGTCTTTCCGAATATATATTATATGGACGAGCGTATTCTACAAACAACTTTTTGTATGTTCATAAGAAATTTGTTTATTTTTGATTTTTTTTGATAATTTAGAAATTTTTTCGAAATTTTGAATTTTTTTTAGAAGTTTGAATTTTTTTAAAAGAATTTGGATTATTTTTAAAAGAAACGTATTTTTTAAATTTGGAAACTTTCGAAAATATCTGATTTTTTTGAAAATTTCAAAATACTCTCAAATTTTTAAATTTAAAAATACTTATTTATCTATGATATATTATGAGCATATGAGCACATATCCAAACCAATCGCTAAATTACATTTTTAGTTAGACAGATAAGCGAGAGGTTGCGCAGTGCCATCGTAAACTCAACAAGTTCCAACTTGTCATACGACATTTATGATTTTTCATAATAAACAGACGCCAAAAACGCAATATTAAGTAATAAAATATAGTAAATTAATCCTCAACCTAAATGAGGGACATGTTTATCAGTTTGGGAAATATCTTGTGCAAATTTGTGGGTGTAAAATGGGAAATGTGTCGTCATATGGTGCCTGCATAATTTACGCTGTTTTCCTAACCTCACTAGTTGTATTAAATGCGATAATAGTTAAAGCAGATTTAGAGAAATTGCCCCACTGTTCTGAAGAATCAGCTGACAGCAAAAGGTATTATTTGCTAGTTTCTAAAATATATGTTATGCACAAGTTATATGTAAAATAGTTTGCGTGGGTGACTTACAATTAGTAAAAACTTTGCCACCAAATTTGGTGAAAAATTATATGGAACTATGAAAATACTGAAACACGGAATCTAGAAAGTTCAGGCTGTATAAAACTAATATATATATATATATATATATATATATATATATATGGAAATGGGAAAAACTCTCACACTACTTCTTCCCTGAATCGAGTTGGAGTTTAACTCAGCTCACGGACCGGCAGAGCATTCATCATCATCATATATATAAAGTAGAAGTATTTTGCAGCCCAATCGTCGAATTAAAAGAAGATTAAAATAGAAAAGTCCTCCTGTAGCTGATTTAACATGACAAATTTTAGAAAACCTTATTTTGACTAATCTTCCAATTCAACCTTATTTTTGCTATAAATATGTTGATGACATCCTCTTTTGTTTAGATAAGGATTATATATCTCACACTTTTGTTCGTTTAATAAGCATATGCAGTTCACTTGTGAACTTGCGGTTAGTAACTCTACTAGTTTCCTAGACTTAAAACTTATTAGAAACAACTATGTCGTCTTCACTGACTGGTTCCAAAAACCAACTTGGTCAGGACGATATTTAAATTATTTTTCCTATCACTCTCGATCTATCAAAGTTTCAGTTGTTATTTCTTTAATAGACAGGGCATTTTGTTAAGTAATGAGATTTTTTGGGAAAAAACCTAACTTTAATTTGTTCTGTTTTGAATAATAATTCTTATCCGTCATATTTAGTCAATAACATCATTAAAAATAGATTAGAGTTTTTACATAACAATTTAAACAGTTCTTTATATACTAACAATTCTTGTTCAAAATCAAATTCGTCTTCTTTAGATAAATATAAAGGTGTTATTTGTTTACCTTTCTTAAGCAATTTTTCTTATTTTATAAAAAAAGTTATTTGTCTCTGAAGATTTTCTTTTAGTTTTAGTTTTGACAACACGTTCAGAGTTGCCTTTTTTCTGCTCTTAAATCAAAAACTCTTGCTGATAGGGTTACTGATTCGGTTTCCAGGTTGCACTGCAATGATTGCAATAGTTGTTACATTGGGGAAAGTTCCCAATATATACACAAAAGGGTTAATCAACATATATATAATTCTAGAAACCCAAATCAATTCATAACTATGCTATAAGTAATGGATTAAAAAAAAATCTATTTTAATCTTCTTTTAATTTGACGACTGGGCTGCAAAATACTTCAAATATGTATCAACATCGACAAAACTACCCAATATATATATCCTAACTACCCAATAATTTTTAAATTGAAATTTTTCAAATGTTCCTTTATTGTTATGTTATTTTTTAGTAATTTTTTTCCGTCTATGGTTGAAAACTATATATTTGCTGTTAATGATTTTAATTAGTAAAGTCATTTGCACTACTAATAATTTGATACAGCAGGATTAAATGATAAAATATTTATTTTTAGCGAATTAAATGTTGTAGATTGTAAATTTTTTTTTAAATTTTTTATTTATTTATTTATTTGATATAATTCGTACACACTGTATCTCAGTCGTACAATTGTTCTGGTATGAGAGATTACAGAACAATTGTCTGACTGAGATACAGTATGTACGAATTATATCAAATAAATAAATAAATAAAAAAAAAAAATTTGGGTTGCATTTGTCGAACATTGATTTGAAGGTAATTTTTATTAATTAATGGAAACTAAAAAAAATGTGACATAAAAAGTTGTGTACAGGAAAACAGATATCAAATTGAGTAGTAAAACATTATCAGACTGCTTAATACTATGAGTACCTTGTTATAGTTTCGCAAATATTTTCTTTGTACTTATATAAAGCAGAAATCCTTCTTAAATGATAAATATATATGAAAAAATAACTCAATTATATAAATTATTTTTTTTATAACATATGTCACTTGATGTATAGTCTGCAGTTGAGCAAAGCAGCAAGTATTGTAGCATATAAATAAACAAATATTAATAGTTCTTCATTTTGAACAAACATCAGATTTATTTTCTTTTGTGATTTAATTATTTATACCATTATTAATTAAACTAACTTTACTGACATTTGAAATGAAATATGTAGTTAAAAGTTATCAATATATACTCGATTGATAGTGATAAATTAATATATACGAGGTCTGTTCAAAAAGTACCCGGAATTTTCGTTTTTTCAAAAAAATATTTATTTATTCGTCTACATTAATGTGGTCCCCTTCAAAGTAGTCCCCCCCAGATATAATACACTTATGCCAGCGTTTTTTCCAATTTTTGAAGCACCCTTGATATTCACTTTTTGATATGTCCTTGAGCACTCTCAGCGATTTTCTTCAATCGAGGAAAACCGCCGTCCTTTCATGGGTCTCTTCAACTTTGGGAATAGGAAAAAGTCACACGGAGCCATATCTGGTGAATTTTTGCACTTTGCAACACTTTATTTCATTTTTTACGCAAAATTTAATACAAATTCTTTGACTTTTCAATTCTTCCATTGTAAAAATCGCCGAGCTCAGAAAAACACGTCGAACCTTAGCGACTACCACAGACAAAGTAAACAGTGAATATAGCTGAAAATTTCATCATACTTTAGGGGCATGTATACCAACACAATAAAAAAAAATTTTGACAATCAGACACTCCAGACCCGCGAAATTTAATTATTAGTAATTCCGGGTACTTTTTGAACACACCTCGTATATCAAGATTTAATAATGAATGCACTACACTTAATTTTTTGAACAAACTTTATTTTATTAACACTTTCACTGTAAGATTTTACACTGAAGTTTAAGCATCGTCTGTAATCTAATGAAATATAGTTTGTGCAATGAATTCAGTGTAATGTGTTCATAATTACATCTTAATATTTGTTTTACTCATAATTACATTATATTATGTAACTATTAACTATACAATTGACTGTATACAGACGATTGGCATCAAATAAATAAAAATTATAAAATTCTTCATATATATATATATATATATATATATATATATATATACATATATATATATACATATAATGTTGAGACATGATTTCATTTTTTTAAGATTTATTTTTGTGAGTACATTGGATGGAAAACTATCAGCCCTTGATACTCAAAATAATGGGAAATTGCAATGGAGTGTTTCAACAGGACCCGGACCAATGTTATCATCCAGCATTCATAGATTAGAGGTATAAAAAATTGAATATTTTGAGCAAATGTTAGAATTTTTTCTTTATATATATATATATATATATATATATATATATATATATATTCTAAATAATTTTGTTTTCATTTAATAATACATAACTTTTATGGATATAAATAATTAAATTTGACAAAAATTTTAAATTTACTGTTCAAAAAACAAATATAATATAAATGAATAATAATCAGCAAAAATAAAACTATGAATTTATTAGGATTTCACTTCTGAGGTTATAATGTCACTTTGCTAATTCAGTTCTGAATTAGATACAGCTTTTAAAATTTTAAAATTATTATTCCACTGTATCAAAGATTTTTTTATATTTGCTTCTGAAATGCAATGACTATGTGGAAATGATAACTATATATAATAAATACTCTGTTCGAATAAATGCCTATGACTTTTTATTTGCCAAAGCAGCAAATTTTATTTAATATTTGTTTATGAATATTATGCTTTATATTATTTAGTAAATGTTTATGAATAGACTTTTATAAAATTTATATTTTTTTCCAAGTTGAAAAAAAGGTCAATGTTTTGTAACTTATTATTTTATTCATAATTATTAATAATTATTTTACTAATAAATAGCTATTTATTTTATTTCTAATATGCTAATAAAATGTAACGTTAATGTTTTGCTTCTTATTTTCTTTATGCAGCTAACTAACAATGGTCAATGGGTGCGTATGATTCCATCATTGAGTGGGGGGCTGTACAAATTTGATGGCGATAGTATAGTACCAGTTCCTGTGACTGCTGATAGTTTACTAAGTTCCTCATATAGATACTCTGATGATTTAGTCATAGCAGGTAAATAAAATTAATGCTGGAACCTGTAAAAGTCAACTACTTTTGACATGGTTGACACATTTTTCATAACCCTTTTAGTGTAAAACTTTTTTCATTTTATCACTTTTATATTTAAAAATATTATTAAAAAAAATATATGAATAAAAGACTTGCTTCAGTGTTTATTGCCATAGTTCAAGTACATTATTCTTTAAATACTGAAATTAACAAAGAGAGTTGTTGCAACACCAATGTTGTGTAGCAATTACTTGAGAATTTGATTTTAACATTTTGCAATAAAATATATATATATATATATATATATATATATATATATATATATAAATATAAATTAAGTGTTTAAACTAATGATACTGTAAACCATTGGAATTTATAACTATTTTCATTAGATCGGGAAAAAATATAAGAGGACCGATAGTTAATAAAAAGCAATAAGATCTTTTGCTTAAAAATTTTAGTATTACAATACAAAAAATTATGAATAATTAATTTAATCAATGTTAGCTATCAACTAAATCTGTTATGAGATACATGTATCAAGAAATACGTTATCAATAGATTTCTTACTTTAACTTTCTGAATCAAGTTGGAAATTATTTTAACCATTGTCTTTGTGCATTTAATCACCCTTAAAATCACAGAACCAAATGGACAGAATTAATTATTATTCAATGCTTATTTTATTATAATTTGTACAATCTTAAGTAATTGTATGTATACTGTTTGTAAACAATAAGTACTTGTTTGTAGGCTGTTTTCTCATTCATTATTGTCTTTGCAAGCTTTTGATTTTTACTGAAAATATATTTTATAGTGTTATATTGTAAAAATCTTAGTATCAATCCTACCAAAAGATATGAAAAGTACTTTAAAAAAACTTCTATTATCATATTAGCAGTATATCATATACATGCATACCATAAACTACATATTTATAATAATTTATATAATTAATTTGTGTATTTTTATTAAACAGGTGGGAGAGAAACTAGATCTTATGGAGTTTCTAGAAAAACGGGGAATATTCTCTATGAATGTACAATGCAAGGTTGTTCAAATTTAACATTAACATCTGAAGATGATGATTCGAATAATCATAATGAAGATGTAATATGACAAACTATAATACTTCTTCTGTGAATTTTACTATTGAAGTTTCAAATGAATAATTTCAGGTTCTTATATTGCAAAGAATTACACAAACTGTGAGGGCTGTGGACCCACGTTCCGGAACTGAACGATGGAATTTTAGCGTGGCGCAGCATGATTTGGAAATTGTATCTCCCACTCAGTGTATTGGGAATGTTAAAAGCCATGATATAGTCCCTGTTGATATTGAATATAAAGTTATTGTACCGGAAGGACTTCTATGTGCAGTCAGTCGAGATAATCCCAGCAATGTCATTTGGAAACATAAGGTAAGATTATTTTTATTTGATTCGTTATGTATCGTATATGTTTATTCAATATTGAAACACATTGTTTAAAAATAGTTGTCTCTAATTTGTCAGAAATAACATAACATATAGAAACAGTTTTTTCATATCCGTTTTTTTACAAATGACGTGGAAGTACACCTCAATATAAAATTATTAATGAAATTAACAAATCATGTTTTCAAAGAAAATTTTTTCTAGATTGCATAATCAAAGTAGAATCGTTATGAAATCAGAGGTTACATTTTGACAGCATATTTGAAATATAATAAAGTTAAAAAGGATTTCCATCTATATAGACTTAGAAAATATTGTAAGATCTAGATTTGTCTTTGTAAAATTATAGGATGGTTTATATATAACGAAATTCTCTGAAGATAGAATAAAATTGACTTTAGAAGATTTTCTTAATGTTTAATAAAATCTTATTTGTTTAAATGTTTGTGGTATATAAATGTGTTACCTAACTATTTATTCGATAAATTCGACAAAAGATCGCTTTTATTTAAAGAAATGAAAATCATGAATGGAGAAACATTTGAGTGAAACAATTATTATTCGCACTAGTGCCGTTATAGACTTGAATATATGAGAACGTATATATTAGTCAAATAAAAAAAAAATATTTGGGAAAAGAGTTAGAATAAATAAAAATAATACAATGTTAAATAAAAAACTTAATAAAATAAAAAAAAATAGATGCATACTTGTTAATGTCAATTTTAGTTTTAAAATCAATTAAACAAAACCCCAAATTTATTCTATTCCGAACAATTTTAATTAATTAATTTCAAATACTTAATTATTTTTTGGTTGAATAAAATATGATTGCTAAAAGTTGAAGATGTCCATCGATTTGTTATTTAGAAGTGTTCTTTGTTTACTCACAAAATTTTCCGAAATAGAGAATACTCTCTTACTTACAACTGAACTAGGCTTAATCGATAAAGCGTGATATAATAATCCTGAAAAAATTTTTCTTCTATTTGCAGCTTCTAGGGCTAAAAACTCTTTTTTTTATGTTTGAGTAAAGCAATTCACTCCTTCAACAAGAAGTCGCATTGATCTAAATTAATATAATAATCTAAATTAATATATACATTATACAAAATATAACACAGAACTTTTCTTGGAGCTATGACAGACTGATATAATTCCAAATTTTATTGAACCGATATGATTCCAAGTATCAAAACGCTTGCTTCCATTTAGTATATTTGTCATTTTTCATTTATACAGTAAAACCGATTTTTTCCGCTAAAAGCCGGTTTTTGACTTTCTTAATTTTCGTCAAAAAGCCGGTTTTTGAAAATCAATAAACCCTACTAAATACTTGCTGGCATTTTGTAAAAAAAAAAATTAGTAACATCTAAGACGATTTTATGTAACTGTGTATTTTAAATTATGAGCACATGAAATAATAAAAAAAATCTTTTCAAATCTCTAAATTATAGTCATTTTATGAAATCATTCACATTGATTCAATGATACAACTAGAACGAAACATAGGTAGTAGCTATTAATTTTATTAACGATTGATTTTTTTTTATTTATTTTTTTTTTATTTAGCAATATATACATTTCATATATATCCATATCTCAGACAGGCAGGGGTGCCTGGTATAAGAGATTATGGGTTGCTTTATACGCTTTATATATGATTATTTTGTTCTGAAAAATATATCTTATTCTTAATGACACAATATTTAAGTAAATTGATGACAAGGAGACAGGTAATATAAAATATTTAATTACTCTTTTACTTATATGAATATTTTTTAAATATTTATGTGAAAATATTGTTTAATCTGAACAAATATGATATAATTTCAGTTTGATTCTCCAATAGTGAGTGCCTGGCGACAGCAACATCAATCTCTTCAGTCAGTAAATCTCTTCAGCGGGGCAACTTGGTCAAGCAACAGCATCCATCTCTCACCTTCATTATACGTAGGCATGCATAAGAAACAATTGTACATTCAAGAATCAGTAAAACTACAACAATTAATACCTAAGGTAGTTAAGTCTCAAGAGCTTTTGGGAATTCCTTGGAAACCATATCCAGCTAGTGGAAATGCATTAGCACTAATGGAAGATGATAATGTTATATTTGATTCTGATATCGGTGTAGAAGGAAAAACTACTGCATTGTCCGTTTTATATGGCACTGAATATGTAAATGGTAAATTAAATACTATCTATTCTATACTTATTTGAAAGATCAAACTTTATTCTTGGGATACAGTTTTATTTTCCCAATTTTATTGTTTTGCAGTTTTTTTTTTGCAATTTTAAACTGGTATTAAAAATTTCTTTATTTCTAATAAAAAATGAGTATATTATATTTTACGTACCTTTTTTAAATATATAATTTTGTTTAAATAGCTTTTTTATTAAAAACTAGCTGTACCCGTTCACACTTTGCCGTGATTTAGTTTAAAATAAATAGTTGATAAAGATGTGTATTTGTTACATTTAGTTTAACGTTACTACTATCTGTTCAACAATTTACCTATTCAACAATTTGTCTATGAATTTACCTAAAACCTTGTCAATCAATCTATCATTTTACATATCCTCCAATTTACCTGTCCACCAGCTATCCAACAAATTACCTTTTCACCAACTTACCTCTACCTATTCATCTGTCATTCAATTTACCTGTCTACCAATTTACCTATAGACCTATCAATACACGATTTTACCTGTCAAATAATTTACCTGCTTTCCAAATTACCTGTCATCGCGTTCTAAATGTCTACCAATTGACCTGTTCAATAATTTACCAGTTGAACAATTAACCTGTTTATCAATTTGTCTACTAATTTACCTATCAACCTGTTTATCAATTTACCATTTTACCGGCCTACAAATTTACCTGTCATCCTGTTCTACATGTCTACCAATTAACCTGTCAACCTGTTTATTTGTCAACATATTCATTTATCTACCAGTTCTTTTCTCTACCATTTTACAAATCCTCCAAATTACCTGTCCACCTTTATAAATTCTTTAATTCACCTTATTTATCTACGCATTATAAAAAAATTAAAGCTCGAATTGATTATATGTTTTAGTTAGAAAACGTTTGTATGTGAAAAAGAAAAGTGCTGTTTTTAGGGTTTTCCCGGCAATTATTCGATTTTTTCTCGCCTTAACAACCATCCTTGGACTTCAACAAACATTTTTAAAAAAGAATTGGCCAAATTGGTTCAGGTGTTGTTGAGTCATGCACTTAGCAACACATTTTGCTATTCATTTTCATATATAAGATAAAGGAATTGTTAATATCAGTTTTTAAATGTTAATAATTTATAATGTATTCAAACTTCCTTGGTTTTAATAATCAAACAAATATTTCTTAGTGTTCAAAAAAATGTCGCATTAACTACTTTTGTTCAATTTAATAAAAAGGGATATTTATTAAAGGTAATGGATACTATTTATACACAACTCAAGACTTATCCAAATATAATTCTGGTCTATGTGATAAACAAAATATGAGTATAGATAGAAAATTACCAGATGAAGAAAATTCTGAAGAAGATGATGATGATAATTCTAATAATATAGTTATTGTGTCGCTATGGTTTTGGTGGTATGTGTTTTCACATTGATTTTTTGTAGATATTGTAGATGTAGATTATATTAATAATTTTTAATTTTGATTGCTAATAAAGATTTAGTGAATTTATGCATTAATCAATGCAAGAGCATACCTATGGTAATAAATTTTGCTAATATGTAATAATAGTTGTGTGACTTTGAAGTATTCTACACTCATAGATGTATAGCATACTGAACTAATATTAGATTTTCTATATTCCAATCTGCATCATATGATAATTTATATATTAATACACTGTATTTATAAAATAAGTATTTTTTTATAATATTTTTAGGAAAGAAGTTCTTGTTATCTCGATGACCTCAGCATTAGTATTGAACTTGCTGGTTACAAGGAGAACTAATCATGAATCGATTCATACTCCAGTAATAATGATTTTGAATGAAATTTGAATAAATAAGTATATATTGTATTGTTCAAATATTGTTGTTTCCAGAATGAGGATAAGCTAAGTAAAACTGCATTATTACTACCAGGGCCTGGACCTGAAGACAGACGTACTACAGGTCGAAGTGTGTCTGAATCCATGAGCACAACACCTTCTAATTATTCAGAAACTTCTTTTTCATCAAGATTTTTGGCTGATTTTGAACCGCTTGCTTGCTTAGGAAAAGGAGGTTTTGGAATTGTTTTTGAGGCTAAAAACAAAATTGATGATTGTAATTATGCTATAAAACGCATAACTTTGCCAAACAGGTTATTATTAATATATATTACCATAATTCAATAAAATATTTGTATGAAGTCAATTAACTTTAAGTTCAAATATTCTTAGACATGAATCTCGAGAAAAGGTGATGCGAGAAGTTAAAACTCTTGCTAAATTAGAGCATTCTAATATTGTTCGATATTTTCAAGCTTGGACAGAAACTCCTCCAGTTGGTTGGCAACAAGAAACTGACAAAGCAATGGCATTCAAGTAATTATATCTTATTATTATTTTCATCATGATCTAATTAAATATAATCTAAGAAAAAATATATTTTATAGTCAGTGTTTGATTAAAAAAAACGACAATTATTTGATTACTATATTATTTATGTAAATAGTTTTTATGTATTGAATTAATTTTTTTTGGAAGTTTTTGTGGTTATTTTATATAATGCAAAAAATAGGTAACTAGTTAATTGCCAGTTTATTTAGGAAAAAAGTTGTACAATATTGTGAAAACAAAACAAATTAATATTGTGTCCATAACTTAAGTAAATAATAGTAAAAAAAATTTGTTCTCATAATGCTGACTTGTCCACAATGGTTGTTGATATTTGTCCTTTACTAAGTAATTTGTCTATAGCATTCATTGTTTTCTTTTGCTTTTTATCTAATTTTTACAATATTTAGAATAAGAATGTGAAAAAAAAAATCTTTTTTGATATGAATGTAATAACTTTATAATTTTATTAAATGATTTATTATTAAAAATTATGATTTGCAGAGATGTTTTATCAGCTGCTGTTGACATTGAAACTCCTTCTCCGACTTACTCCAAACATGCTCCTGTATTCACAAGTACCAAAGCTTCTGTCAAAGATCACCTATTTTTAAAAGATCCTGTGAGGGATGAGGTTTTTGACTCACTCATATCTGATGTTAGTTCATATCAGCATAGCAACATTTTGAAGACAAAGAGCTTAAATGATGATTGCTCTGATAGCTTCATTGTTTTCAAAAGTGACACGCAAGATGAAAGTATCAACAAAATAAATGGAAATAATAACTTTACTAAATATCCAAATACTGTTCCTGATATCCCAGATAATTTTACTTGTAGCTCAGATAAAAAGCGGTTATTAGGAGAAACTCAATCATTTTTAGGAAATAACAGCATATTAATTTCTAATGGAAAGGATTATAAACAAAACACTAACACCAAGAAAACTCACAGACGTCCAATGTCTTTAGATTTGACTAATAATTTTAGGAAGGCAGATACCCTTCCAACTGTTTACTTATATATTCAAATGCAATTATGTCAAAAGCAAAGTCTGAAAGAATGGCTTATATATAATAGACTTTCTGAAAGGCAAGATAAAATATTGCCAATTTTTGAACAAATTGTTGATGCAGTAGAATATGTTCATCTACAAGGATTAATTCATAGGGACTTAAAGGTAATAATCACACTAAAAATAATCATATATATATATATATATATATATATATATATATTAGGGTGGTCCTTAAAATGGTCATTTTCGAATTTCCTTGCTCCCAGGGGCTTAAATGGTTCCAAATAGATAAAAAACAATTCTCTGAAAGTTTTAGCTCTTAATATTAACGTTTAGATAGAGCGCAATTCAATCAAAGTTTGTATGGAAAGAGCATGGAAAAAATTTTGAAAATTAAAAAAAAATGTTTTAGGTATAAGTTAGCGACATATGAATGAGTTTTATTTATTCATTTGTTCACTAAATTACATCTAAAAAACATTTTTAAAATTTTTGAAAATTTTTCCATGCTATTTCCATACAAAACTTTGATTGAATTGCGCTCTATCTAAACGTTAATATTAAGAGCTAAAACTTTCAGAGAATTGTTTTTTATCTATTTTGAACCATTTAAGCCCCTGGGAGCAAGGAAATTCGAAAATGACCATTTTAAGGACCACCCTAATATATATATATATATATATATATATATATATATATTGAATTGAATAAAACAGCCAATGCGTCGAATGTAGAAAAGTTTATATATATGTTAAAATTTTAATAATTTTGATGATGAGATATGTGAAAATCAGTCTTCAGGGCAATACATCAATTAAAAACTTATATGAAGTTATAACATTTTTATTGTTACCATACGTTTCGACACATTATTTTGTGTCATCTTAAGTGGACAATGTAATTGTAGTTTGGTATACTACCAATGAAATGTGTATGATAATTTATAATAATAGTTTATTAGCAGTTTATGTACATAGATAACTTATCGCGACCAGAACCCGGGACCGACTGCCTGTTGAGCAATCCATACGCGCCATCCGGCACGACCCTTACGACGGCGACGTTGCCATACGCCTACAGTACTCCCCCTCTAGTGACGAAGTTCACGAAAATCCGGCCTGCCAAAAATCCGGAAACCGAACTCGGCGTCCTCGTCTTGTTGAAGAGTTTGGTTGTGCAACTGGCTCAGGCTCTGTCGGGCTCAACGGCTGAGATCTGCTGTTGTTGTCAGATTCTCGCTGGATTGTTTGCGGAATCTCATTAGACTGCGACGGAACGGATTCAGCATTTTCTTCTGGTGCTAGTGTGTATGCTGGCTTCAAACGGTCGATAGATATGGTGACATCTTTGCCACGCATACATACCACAAAAGACTTTGCTGATCTGGACTTTACCTCAAAGGGACCTTCATATGGATTCTGCAGAGGTCTCTTTGGGCCGTCGTTTCGAACGAAAACGCTCTCCGCAGTCGCTAAATCTTTGAACACAAATGTTCTCTTCTGGCCATGTCGCGTTCCGTTGATGGGGCATATATTTTGCATGTGGTCCCGCAGGTTATTTACAAAGTTTCTCTCGCCGTAATTACTCGTCGGTGTTACGTGTAGCATTGGTCCAGGCAATCGCAAGGCTTCGCCATATACCATTTCCGCAACAGTAGCTTGCAGATCCTCTTTCCATGCTGCACGAATTCCTAACATAACCGTCGGTAATATTTCTGTCCATCTTTCACTGCTATGGCATCTGATAGCTGCTTTGAGCTGGCGGTGGAATCTTTCAACCATCCCATTGGCTTCGGGATGGTATGCCGTAGTCTTGTAATGACTCGTGCCAAGCAGCTGATTTAATTCACTGAATATTCGTGACTCGAACTGCCTTCCTTGGTCCGACGTCAGCCGCAGCGGTATACCAAATCTTGCAATCCAATTAGAATAGAAGGCTCGCGCTACGGTGGAGGCTTCTTGGTCTCTGATTGGAATTGCTTCCGGCCATCTCGAAAATCTGTCGACGCATGTAAGGCAATACCGATATCCTTCTGACAATGGCATTATCACTATATCGATATGCACGTGCTCAAATCTACCCGATGGAAGTTCAAATTGTCCAGTTGGGGCCTGCACGTGCCTACTGACTTTTGCACGCTGACATGCGACGCAACATCGAGCCCACTCGCGGCAATCCCGTTTGATGTACGGCCACACATATCTTTGTGTAACTAGCTTGATCGTAGCATTCATACCGGGGTGTGACAATCCGTGTAAGCTATCAAACACCGCCCGCCGTAACTTTGTTGGAACATACGGTCTAGCTGTTCGCGTAGAAATGTCGCACAAGACTGACACGTCTTGGTCCTCAAATCGAATAAGTTTCAGTTTGAGCGACGTGTTGTTTTCGGTGCGCAACTTAGCTATTTCTTCATCTATTCTCTGCTCCGCTGCTAATAACTTCATATCTATTTCGGCACTTCTTAAAGACTCCACCCGCGATAATGCGTCGGCGACAACATTTTTCTCTCCCGACATATGACGTACATCGGTCGAAAATTGGGCGATAAAGTCTAAATATCGGAATTGACGAGGCGAACACTGACTATCCTTCTTGACAAATGCGAACACTATTGGTTTATGGTCAGTAAAAATTGTAAAAGTTCTTGCCTCAACCATGTGACGAAAGTATTTCACCGCTTCATACACTGCAAGTAGTTCACGATCGTAAGTCGCGTATTTCCGTTCCGTTGTGCTCAGTTTTCGCGAAAAGAATGCCAAGGGTTGCCAGCTGTTAGCGACCTGCTGCTGCAATGAGGCTCCAATGGAATGTTCTGAAGCGTCGCAGAAAATAGCTAAATGAGCATTTGCGTGTGGGTGGGATAGTAGTGCTGCTTGAGCCAGACTCTCCTTACACGCTTCAAAAGCAGCTGACGTATGCGCTGTCCACTCTACCGGGGTTTTGCTCTTCGGATCTCCACGCAGAAACTCATTCAACGGTGCTTGAATTTGAGCGGCATTTGGTATGAACCTTCTATAAAAGTTTAGCATGCCCAAAAACCGCCTCAGCTCTTGCGTTGTTGCTGGCTTTGTGAATGTCCTAATAGCTTCAACCTTCTCTGGCAAGGGGCGAGTACCCTCAGCCGACACCTCATATCCCAAAAACTTCACACTTGTTTGGCCGAACACACATTTAGATGGGTTTATTACCACTCCAAATTCCAGAAGTTTACCAAACAGTGTCTCTAGGTGCGCCATATGTTCTTCCTCGGACGACGAAGCTACAAGAATGTCATCGATGTAGGCGTAACAAAAATCTAACCCTTGCAACACCTCATCGATAAATCTCTGGAATGTTTGCGCGGCGTTGCGCAATCCAAACGTCATGTACGGAAACTCATATAGTCCAAACGGTGTTGTAATAGCGGTTTTTGCAATATCTTCTTCCGCCACCGGAATTTGGTTAAACGCTTTCACCAAGTCTATAGTCGAGAATATAGTTTTTCCGTCTAAGGCTTGGGCGAAATCATGAATATGGCGTACTGGATATTTGTCAGGCTTCGTTCGCGCATTCAAACCTCTATAATCGCCACATGGACGCCACTCATCACATCCTTTTGGAACCATATGTAGCGGGGCTGCCCAACAACTTTTCGATGGTCGAGCCGTTCCTAATTTCAGCATAGCTTCAAACTCCTTTCTAGCAGCAATGAGTCTGTCCGGAGCTAATCTCCGAGGTTTTTGAACCACCGGCGGTCCAGGACTGGTTTCTATATGGTGTTGCGTCGCGTGCTTGCGTAACCTAACAGCGCCGTCTGGTCGTGTTAAACCAGGAAACTTTTCAAGCAACTTATGGTACGCTGTTGAACCAGTTACCACCTTTATAGTCGCTATTGATCCCGCTGCAATATCCGCCTGCGCCGTTAATCCTGTCATAGCATCCGTTATTTGACGATTTTTCACATCCACAATTAAACCGTAGTAAGCGAGAAAATCTACACCAATTATTGGTTGCGTAACGTCTGCTATAATGAAGTTCCATGACAGGTCGCGACGTAGCCCAAGATCAACCACCATTGCCACCGTACCATAGGTTGCAATAGTCGTATTATTTGCGGCGGCTAGCTGGTATGCAATCCTCTTCCTATTTGGATTGCATAATAATGAGCGCGGAAACGCTGAAACGTCCGACCCCGTATCAATCAGGTACGACACCTGACTCTTTCTGTCACTTAGGCAAACACGGCGGCTTATCTGTCTCTCTGGGCGTAAATCGTTTGCCGCTAATAACGATGGCCCACGGAGTTTTCCGAACGCATGTCGCACGGCGATCGACATCTCATTGCATTCCGACCGAACCGTCGATGATATTCGCAAAGCGTTCGTACGCGCTCTTCCGAACCTGACCGAGTACTTGCGGGCGTACGCGATCTGCGCTTACGGCGAAGGGATGAACCGTCTCGTCGATCCTCTACCTGTTTTCTCAAGTCAGAAATCTCGGCTCGCATGTTCCGCAATTCTGACGCGAGGTTGCCGTAAAAATCGTCGTGCGCTGATGTGCTTGCAATCGCCATTGTTGTTGCACCCGATGCTGTCTCTAATTCCATAATTCTGTCGGCGGCTTTCGCATTCGAATCTATGTCACTGTTTTCCCGTATAGATATTAATGCTTGCACATGCGTAGGCAATCGCGACGACCACATTAGGTTCAGCATTTCTTTTGAAACAGCTGAACCCGCTAATGAGCGTAGGTGCCGTAAAAACTGTGATGGAGTTCTATCACCCATTTCCTGACCTTCCAACAACTGGCGTAGCTTTGTTTCATCGGAAATGCCATACCGTTTCAACAATTCCTTTTTCAACGCACTATATGGATTATCTTTAGGGGGTTTCAGAATTATATTGCGAACTTCTGACGCATACCGCGGGTCCAACTTACTAACGACCGTATGAAATTTTGAACTTTCATCCTTCACATTAGCGTGCACAAACACACTTTCCGCTAAAGCAAACCACAACTCTGGGTCCTGCTCGTAAAAATGTGGCAAATTTACGTTATCGCGGGGCACTACTACTGGCGTACTCATGTTTTCCACTGCACTTAACTTTTTCGCACGAGAATTCATTTAAAATTAACACACACACACTAAATCACGTCGGGGTCACCACTTTGGTATACTACCAATGAAATGTGTATGATAATTTATAATAATAGTTTATTAGCAGTTTATGTACATAGATAACTTATCGCGACCAGAACCCGGGACCGACTGCCTGTTGAGCAATCCATACGCGCCATCCGGCACGACCCTTACGACGGCGACGTTGCCATACGCCTACAGTAGTAATCCTAATTATTTCATAATAATAATTGTTCACGATGCACAATAAAAACAATTCTTGTCATTTTAAATCAAACAATATATAAGTTTTAGAATGAGTTTTTTATTGGATAGTACATCTCGCAATTCCGTATTCCGATGCGTGAGTGAGTGAGGACTCTCAATTGATTCTCATAATATATATATATATATATATATATATATATATACATATATATATATATATATATATATATATTATATATGATAGTTGTTTTTGAGCATCCAACCAATAAGTAAAACGATTTTATTGTAGAAAATTGTTTTTATTTTAATATCATATGTGTCGGATTTTTTTTTATTGTAATATCATATGTTTTGTGTTTTTCTCTTTAATTTATTTGTATGCACTAAAGATGTGTCAAATCAGGACCTGAAACGTATGGTATTACAATAAAACATTTTTCTACAATAAAATCGTTTTAACTATTGGGTGTATGCCCAAGAACAATTTTATCATAGTATTTTACCATCTGAAAAAACCTCACGATATATATATATACACTAGAAAGCCTGGTTGTTTTATAAAATGGTCAGTGTTTCATCTCTCATGAATATGTCAAAAAGTAATTTTATATATTAGGGGCACATTTGTATAGGTTCGATAAGTTACAAGTCCGTTGCAAGTTGAATGTCCGATTATTTAGACAGCCCAAAAAGACCTTTAAAATATAATATAAACTTCTAGCGGAGCTAATGCGCCCCTTCCCTTACGCTTATTTGGCAGAAAATCTGAAGCAGTTTTCTGATCCCTGATTAGTTTTTGGTGGGGATTGGCCAGAAGTTTTTTATAGTTGTTAAAATTGTTTATCTGTATAATAAATAAAACTTTAAAATTTGGTTGCTCGATGTTAATGATAACTGCATCTGTTCTACAGGATAGACTAGTTCATACATAATACAATAAGTTACATTATATTGGAATTTCAGTTCTAATTGAAAAATATACATTGTGATTTTCAGCCAAGTAACATATTTTTTTCTCTGGATGGTCAAATAAAAATTGGAGATTTTGGACTTGTTACAACCATGCAGAAAACACCTGCAGATCAGAGAACACCTTGTGAAATAGAATTATGCTCAGGTGTATGTGATAAACATACTCAACAAGTTGGTATGTACTTCTAACAGAAAATGTATATAGTATTTATAAAACAGATTTATTTTAAATATGAATTAGTTAGATTATTATTCATAAAATAATTAGATATAAAGTAAATTGAAACATAACATAAGAAAAACAATTATACATAATTATTATTTATATGTTACATGAATTGAGAAATTCGATAGCAATATTACCATTATTTTGGAGCAATATTACCTAATATTTACAAATCATGCAATTTGTTTTTAAGGGACTCATTTGTACATGTCACCAGAGCAGCTTCAAGGACTTGCATATAATTATAAAGTTGACATTTATTCATTGGGCCTAATTTATTTTGAACTGTTGTATGAATTTGGTACTGAAATGGAGAGAATAAGTACTTTAAAGACTATAAGAAAGCTACAATTTCCACATGGATTTTCTGAAACATTCCATAAAGAGGTAAGTTTACAATATCAATATTTAATATTAAAAATTATATATTTATAGTTCTTGAATTGAACTAAGCGCATATATCTGTATATCTGAAAGAATGGTAATGTAAAGAATATTAATTTTTACGTAATACAAATATTGTAAATACCCATGTTTTGGAAACATATAGTAATGAGATTTTGTACATCTATTGTTTTCTGACATAAATACGATAAAGTCACACTTTTTTTGAAAATGACAACAAGTGTAACACCTATTCCTGGCAGTTATGTGTATTGTATACACTTATGAACAGAGCATACCTACATTATGGTAAAATTGGCCCATTAATATTTATAGAATACAAAACAGTAGATCTGCTGCAAAACTGAATTATGTTTCTAAAAAATATTTTCAATAGATTTCCGTATATTTCCCATACCAAATTGAGAATTCAGTGAATAAAACAAAGGTGATCATACGTGTCCTGGATTTTTCCAAAAGCAATATTTGCCTCGGATTTAGATCTTTTGCCCCAGATTGTCATAGGTTTTTGAAAAGTATGGGCTTTAATTGAATACATTAGAAAACTAGTGGGGTGGGTGGCATCGTGCCTTAAGGCAAATTGCTGGAACTTCCCGTACCGTAACGAAATGTTCGAGGATTACTGAATGTTTTCAAATAGAATATTATAAATATTGTAACATTGTCTAATATTTATAAATATTATATAAACTGAATTGCAGAGTTGAAATTATTTATTTGAATTAAAAATAAATATTTTCGATATACAAAAAACTTAAAAAAAAAAAAAAAAAAAAAAAAAAAAAAAAAGTGGGACAAATTTTTTTGCTGGGCCTGCCTTTGCCAAAAACTAATAAACACTTCTCCCAATCATTACTAATTGAATGTTTTTTAGATCATTCAAATCGGACACTCCGTTCTCTCAAAAATACGATTTCTATTTTCTGCACTCTTTGCTCCGTATCTCCGAAACGGCTGGACCTGCCTTTGCCAAAAACTAATCAGCTCTTTTCCCTATCAATAGGAATCGGATGTTTTTTGAACCATTCAGATCGGTTGATCCGTGCGCCCTAAAACGTGACTGGAAATTTGTATCCACACATACATACACACACACACATCCATTTTTTCTGAGGTATGCCAAAACGTTCAGAAACTTTCAAAACGTCGAGAAATGTAAAAATTTTCAATTCCGATTTTCGGCCCATTACAATAACTTACCCTACGGGAAGTTAATGATGTATATTATGTTACAAGACAACAATTATACTTGTAATAAAACAATGTGTTCTGGATGAGAAAATTGCCAAATAAAAAATTCCAAAGGCGGGTTTAAAACATATAAACATAAAATATAAGCTACAATATAACATCATAGGTAAAAAAAGATTATAACATATAATCAAATAATTAAGTTCTTACTAGAAGTAAGAACTTAATTTATGATTTCAAAAACAAAAGATTCATTTAAAGATACTGATATTTATTTTATTGTTAAATAAAATTTTTCTTATTTTAAATCATACCTAAATTATTTAGCATAACCCCTTCTCCACCCGTAAACATAAAAATTCTCTTTGTGAAAGACAAAGAAGTGTAAAATAGTAGTGCTAAAGTGTGTGCTTTGCTCACATCTATTGATTTAAGATACCATATCCATACTCACTGATGAAAATTTAATGTTGAAACATATGGAATAATTAAAGATCAATTTTTCAATCTGTCTTCATCTTTCTTTTATTTGATGTGTTGCCTTAGAAGAACTTACTCATATATCTCAACATCAAATTTAACAAACATTGAGTAGAGCTTTGAACAAAGAATCAAATGGTAATAAAAAAAGCAAAAAGTTTTTTAAAACATTATTATTTATTATCGGAGTTTCAGACTAAATGCATCGAACTTCTTGACATCTGTCAAGAAACTGATACAAGAGAATGATTTTGATTAGAGATAAACAAACCAAAGTAACTTACTTACAAAAAATTAATGGATTTTTGCTTTAATATATTGTTGTAAAGTTTTGTACAAGGAACAGAATTATGTAGAAAATAATAATATTATAATATATTATAACATTTTGAGAATTCTTATGAAATTAAGATCAAGATATGATGAAAACTCTAAATCTTTATTATAAATTATTTGATAAATATTAATAATTTCACCATTTATTCAATTATACTTTGTAGTTTCAGTTGCTAAGGTTAATGTTATCTCAAGAACCGGATAAAAGACCTACAACTTATGGGATTAAAGACCATTTGAGACCCTCAACAAACAGACAGTGCTCCAATGAGGAGTGGCATTTTCAACTACCTCCAAGACTTTGTCATAGTTCCAGTATGGAAATATGTAGCTAAGTGTCCAATAATTTTGAATGAATTCCTTTTAGTTCTTAATTAGTCTATAGTTTTAAGTGTAATTAATTGTTATATGAATTTTATGTGATATTGGTGATCTTAGGGCAGTATTTATGATTGAATGAAAGAAAAAATGTTCATTGTTAAAAGTGAAATTATTAAAGAAATTTATGTATTTAGGATTGATAGGTTTAGTAAATTACACTAAAATTTGAATACTGTTTGGCCTTTTAATAATGATAACAGGAAATTTACTAGTTTGTATTTTTATACTCGATTTCATCTGTTATAGCATTTGATGCTATACTACAATTGTTTTCAAACAATCGATCAAACTGTGATTGCGCAATAGTTATTTTGTAGTAAAATCATTCCATTACAAGTATATGTGTCTCAAATGCACAATTTAACGATTTTTGTAATTAAATCACCTTATATCTGTAATATTTTAAGATGTTTGGTAAGACCATAGATAAATAAATATAATGGATTCATATATTTAAACTTTACAATTTGAAAATCTGTGGACTACAATTGATTCATAAAATACTAATAAGGTAAATGTACACTATTTCAAGATAGTACATTATTCCGGGAGTTTTTCATTTTGATTGCAAAATAAGAAAACGGTCAGTAAATAAGTAATGAACAAAGCACATATTAAAAAATATTGGTCCACAATTTTTTAACAAGTTTGAAATGAGTGAAAAATGTGGATGTTATGACGCGTTTTGATTAGAGTGAAAAACCATGGATAACAGTCCATGGCTTTTTAACAAGATTAAAGTGAGTGAAAAATGTGAATGTTTTGTCACTTTTTGGACTATACGAACTGTAGTTCATGATTTTTTAACAAGATTGAAGTGAGTGAAAAATGTCGATGTTTTTGATAATAAACGCTTCCGGAAATTTGTCGACTAATATCTCAGGTAATTTTTTTGACCAATTTATGATGATTCTAGAAACATGTTTAAAATTGTAAATTCAAGAATTTTATTTTCTCGTCAGGAACTCGTCGAATTATTGTTAGATAACAGGATGCTTTTTTTCTTGGCCATTTCAGTTCCAATAGCAACTACCGAAAGAAATTTTTTAGAGACGGTCTATCAACGCTGGCACTATTGTCCCTAGAGGTACAAACTTTAGAAAAACTATAGCGATAATCGCTCAATAATCAGTTTTTCGAAAATATTTCAGGAAATTTGCAGATTATAATAATTTTTGTTTAATTTTATGCATGTTTCATATTTTGTAAAAAATCTTTAGTCTTCTTAAGGGGGCCCCCAAACCAATTTGGATACGGGACCCCGCCAAGTCACGCTAAGCTTCTTTATATATGATGTGATATTTATACAGATATACAGTAGACCCTCGCTCTACGCGGTACTCTGGGTACACGGTTCCCCTACTACACGGAGCTAAAAATCCGACATCCCTCCGACTACACGGACTTCTTATTACGCGGTATTTTGGTACAGCCTATAAGTTCGTTGTGGTTGTGCAACCTATGAGTGATTCTAGTAACTTGATATCAAAAGGGTATTAATGTAAGTTTTGTTATCGACTTTCATCTTTTAGGCATGCCTGATTATATAATAGCTGCCTAGGAACACGTTTGAGCTGACTACTGCGTCGCGCCAATTTTTGAATAATATATTGTATAGATTTATTATATATTTACTTGTTTAAACTGCACCTTATTGCTAACAGTTTACTACATATGCGACAGCTGTCGCATCCATAATTCATTCGTATGCGTTTTTCAACAGCACATTCATTCATTCATTCGTATGCATTTTTCGATAGCACAAAATTTTTTCTCCAAAATTTTTTTACCCAAAATTTTTTCGTAACATTTTTTTCCCAAACGGTTTTACCAAAATTTAATAAAATTGAATTCGGTGAAAAAATGTTTTGCAGAATTTTTTTTCCAAAAAATTTTTTTCCCCAAATTTTTTTTCCTCAAAATTTTTTCCAGAATTTTTTTTCCAAAAATTTCAAACTCAATAAATTTAAATAATTATTTACCTATATATCTTAATTATTTGTACTTGTACACCGGGGTTCGAACTGACGATCCTCGAACTGTTATTCTGGCCTAAACCGTACCTTTACGACCTCGACCATTCGCTCACTCGAAATGGTATATTTTAGGAAACACATCTTTCATTTAAAACGGTTAAAATAAGACTTTATATTTTTACAAATGAAGACCTTTGTGTATAACCAGTTGGCCGAGATCGTTAAGTTACCACTACGGTTGCTCGTTGTTTCTCGGTTCAAATCCCGAAGAGGGCATCAAAAATTAAATTCATAGTTTTTCATAATTATCAAATATTAGTTCAAAATATTAAATTCAGGTGGCGCATTTCGACCTTGACACTTAGAATATTTCTGAAAAACAAAAAACTCAGGGTTACGCACTTGACTGTAAGAGAGAGATGACGAAGGTAGAGGAAGAACGGGGGAAAGAGAAAAGGGTAGAGGTATGATGAATAAGAGAGATGTGTATGATACATATGCGTTTTTGGATAAATCCATCTTTGAAATCTTTGATTCCAAAGTCGTTTTTTTTTTAAAAAAATCCGTTTTCTTTCGCGTTTTGATTGGCTTTGATAGATTTAGAGTCGATGAATTTGAAAATGTTATATATTTTTGGATTGTCGGATTCGAACCAGCTTCCTTCGGGTCTAGTTGAACGCTCTAACCGATTCGGCCACGGCGACCAAGATTGTCCGACGACAAATACTGGAAGGACATTCTTCGACGACCGACCATCATGATTGGACTCAAGGTCACAGGGGGATGATATGAAAGTATTAAATGTTCACACTGGGGTTGAAAGTGGGCTCATTCGATTCTGTGGGTCCTTGCGAATTTCAAGCGGGGGGTTACAGGGGGGAAAATTTCGTCCGTTTTTCGCTCAGGAGACGAGAAAATCGACTTTTTGTAAATTTCGCGATTTTTGTATGGGAATTTTCGAAAGTTTTTGCTGGCCTCAAAGATTCGGTCAAGGTCAAGGTCATTTATATGTGGTCAAGGTCAAAGAGATTCATATAAACGACCTTAACCGAATCTTTGAGGCCAGCAAAAAAAATATTTATATATATATATATATAATATATATATATATATACATATACATATACATATACACATACTCATACATT